CTCCAAAAAAAAAAAAAAGAGAGAGAATAAGAAATGACCAAGAAAATGGCAGGGACAAGTTCAGAAATATCAATAATAATGTTGAATGTTAACTTCTAGGATTTAAATGGAAGAATGCAGTAACACTGCAAATTCAATAGAAGAGATATTAATTACATGAGTCTGATCTAGTGAAATAGAATTTTTTATTTTAAACTAAAACATTATTGATTTTCTTCGATACTTTGATTTCCATATTTAAGGATGTCTGTCTTCCCTTGAACTACTGATAAATGCATATACCTATTATTTGAACTGAATCCTGGCTTTAAGATTTAAGTAATTTTTCTTAACATTTTATTTTCTTGATCTATCAAAACAAAAACTTTTTCTTGACATTAAAAAATGCATTAAAAAATACGTATTAGTACCTATTTAATGACTGCAGTAAGCTCTACAGCCCCAGTGAGGTGCTACTTTATAGTATGTTCACTTTATTCACTGAAGTTTACGCCTAAAGTCAGACATGTGTTCATAGATCAATATATATTGTGCTTGCTAATGAAAATTTTTAACTTAATTAAGATCTTTAGTGAATCAATAAAATTGAGGGGAAAAAAGGCATGGAAAACAACTGTAGATACCAGAGACAGTATGGGATAAGGGGGGGAAATGGCAGAGGGTGAGAGGTAGGGAATCAAAGGGGGAAAAAAAGGGCAAAACATACAAGAAACAAGAAATAGAGAATTACTTGCTGACAGTAACATGTATGGCAACATCCTTGATTGAATCAATATACAATGTGTTCTGGATGGAAAATCTCATTTTGTATACTGTATTAATATACAATGAATGACTGTAAATAAATAAATTTTTAAAAAAGAACACTGTCTATGGATAAAATAAAGTTCGCGTCTTACCTGTCCTTTGGCAAAGCCACACAGAAGCCGCGAGCAGTCATTGTTGATGCTGAGGGCGGAGATGGCGCCGTACTGCCCGCCAACACTGGTGCTGCCCAGACAAAGCCGCAACGCTTGATTCTGATCTAAAAAACGCAGTTTGTAAAGCCGATAAGGGAAGTGGGAGCAACGTTCATATCTACGCGTGCATGTACGTGTGTGTGTAGGGTATGGGCATAGTCTCAAAGACATGGGAGGTAACACAAATAAAAAGCTATGCTCGCTTTAAAATATGTTTATTGAGACAGTAATAATATAAGAAAAAGAAACAGACCTATAAGGAAACATACAAAACTTACAAATGAGTAAGTTGAAAAATCTCTAAGAAATCTCTATCTCCTTGGAAAACCAACTCTTCTGTCTCTTCCTAGAATTACATTTATCGTCATTTTCAAGATGCAAACTAACAGGGATATCCATCTTCTTTCAAAATAGCTTTGAAACCTCAGAAGTTAAAACGTATAAATTTAGAATTTGGCTTAAATTTATGTTATTCATGGAAAAAAGATTTACTAAGCAAATTAATTGTGCAAATAAAATTACACAGTAAACATTTAAACTACTTCAGAAAATTATTTCAAGCATCCACATCTGATAGGCTAAAAGCAAATAAAATTCAAATCTCTACAAGGTCAAGTTCAGTAAGGGCGAGGAGCTTGCCTTAGTCACCTCGCTTTGCCCAGAGTCTTCTATCTGTTAAATTGTATTAACTAGTAATTATAAGAAATTCCTCAAGGGCTTCTCCTGGGCCATGCTTACTTTGTATAGAGTTCGTTATTGCACCCACTTGAAAACAATGAAGTCAAAAACTTAAGAAAGCATTGCCTAAGGGTCCAGCTTCATGGCCTAGTGGTTAGGGAAGTCAGGGTCCACATGGCTAACCATGGTTCACATCCGGCCCTGGTGATTTGAAAAACATGCCTGGCACACATACATGCCTGCCCCAAATCCGACAAGACTGGAGAAATGGAGAAGGGATTGCAGTGTGACCACGACCCACTGGGGGGTGTTTCTTGTGGTCTCTATGGTGAGTACCCCTGCCTTCTGATACTAAGAGAAGGGAGGGAGGGAAGGAGAGGAGAGCGAGTGTGCACGCCTACCAAATCTAACTGCCTAGAAAACCAAACAGTGAAACCCACGTGTATAACCTAGAGTTGTCTCCTCTCCTCCAGCACTTGGTTGGGCCTCCCTTCACTGTCTACACACTGTCCCTCTCTGGTCACTCCCACATGGCCATTCACAGTTTGAGTCTCGGACCTGGCGGCTTGCTTTCTCACTTCTCTCTGTGTGTCTGTCTATCTCTGAACAAATGAAAATGAATGAATGAATAAAATTAAATAAATAATTCTTTTTAAAAATTTTTGATTATTCTTTTTAAATTTGTTATAGGGCATGTGTACTCACACACACACATACACACACACACAGAAAGTGAGAAAGCAAGCCTCCAGGTCCTCAACTTGAACTGCAGCACCCCAACCACCATTCTAACTGCTGACCTCAAAATTCTAGATTTTAACGAAACTTTTTTTCAGTCTTTTACTATTATCTTGTCAACATTTTATCCGATGACAGTTTTATACAGCAACTCATCTTTACCAGGTTCTTTTTAAAGCATTCATTAGTATTCAGGGAAACAAGAGCTGTTTCTTTTCTAACTGTTTCATCATCTCATCTGTTTTATGTACTATTTAAGTTTGTAAAGTGCGGTAATATGACAATAACGTCGGCAGGTTTGTGAGTGAACACAGCTGATTCTTGGTAAGCAGCAGCGATTTGGAGATAGCAGTGCGCCTGGTTTTGAGTCAGTAAGCTTTCCAGGGCAGAGGGCTTTAATCCCATTGGTTAGCTAGAAGTCAGCCGAAACTACTCCAGCTATTTTATAATCATTGATGAAAAATATTTTCTAATGAGACCTCTATTCTTCTCCTTTAGTCGTAGAGAATATTTTAGTTTGAATAAAAGATAAAAGAATAGTATTGAAGAATGGTGCATGCTGACAGAGAAAAGTAGAGTGTACATACAGTTCAGTCTGATCCCCTCTAGGGTATTTGCATTTCTTTCTTTGGTGGTCTCTGGGAACTAATTAAAACAAGTTAGGGTGAAGAAAGAATACTGGATTGATTTTTTTTTTTGGGGGGGAGAGGTTTTTTGCTATAGGGTGCGTGTGCTCGCGGGACAGAGAGAGAGAGACAGAGAGACAGAAAGCGAGAAATCACCCCCTGGGGGGATAGCCACGCCACAATCCCTTCTCCTCCATTCTCCTCTTGGGATCTTGGGCACACACGCACATGTACCTGGCGTGAGTTTTAAGCCACTGGGTCTGGGATGTGAACCATGGTCGACTACATGGGAGTCCAGCGACATAGCCACTAACTGCTGGTCCCGACTGATTTTGGTATATGGAAAGAACAGAATTTTTTTTTTGGTGAGGTTTTTGCTATAGGGTGCGTCCAGTGCCTTAACCACCACACTACCTGCTGACTCAAAATTTATACGTAATTAAAAAAAAAAAAAATTCTAGTATTTTGCAGGCCAGTCAGGTGGACTGGTGGTTAAGGTGGCTGGATCCCACATAGCCGACTACGCGGTTCGAGTCCCTGACTCAGTGGCTTGAAAAACCACACTGGTGTGTGTGCTTGTGTGTCCCTCATCCTGCGAGGAGAATGGAGGAGAAGGGATTGTGGAGTGACTGGTTTCTCTCTTTCTCTCTCTCCCTCCCTGCCAAGCTTGCATGTCCTATAGCAAATTAAAAAACAAACAACAACAAAAAGAGGTGTTAAAGCCACTTATTTCAAAAAATAAATCTAGATTTTTACACTCACTGATAGTCACAGGTGTGCCTGTCTTCACCTTATTTTTAAAAATTAAAATTGTAAATCTACATGACCTATATTGATGAAGTTTATGCCAAAAAAAAAAGGAAGGAAGGAAGGAAGGAAGGAAGGAAGGAAGGAAGGAAGGAAGGAAGGAAAGAAAGAAAAGAAAAGAAAAGAAAAGAAAAGAAAAGAAAAGAAAAGAAAAGAAAAAAAGAAAGAAAAGAAAAGAAAAAATGCTGTAGACCTCCGAAGGGCAAATACAAATGCAAAGAAAAGGCTTTGGACTATATCAAAAGATCAGGGGAAAAATGAAAACTTTATACTTTCAGTTAAAATAAAACATAAAAGTATTTATAGTTTCTCACAATTCCTTGCTTAACCAACATTTCAAATAACTGGGTTTTCTTTTTACTAAGCATTTCATAAGAAAGCATCAACTATAATTGCTAGCATTTTCTCTCAACACTTAGAAAGGTCAAAAAAAAAAAAGAATCGTTCATGCAAAATAAAATTACTATACCTTTTCCTTTGGAATCCATGAAGAAAAGATTGAAAGAGAGAGAAAAGCAAGAAATCAGTTCAAAAGTTCAGAGAAAAGGCAGACAATTTTTTTTAAGAGTATAAGTGAAAAGCTTTAGTTATTTGTGGGAATGATACTAAACTTTATTAACTGATGTCCTTAACGTTTATGATTATATTCAGGTACTGGTTATGGGAAAAGAAAAATGCATAATATCCAAATTATAGAACAATAAATAAATTTATGTTTAAGTTAGAAACAAAAAGAATTTCAAAATGATAATCTATTCAAACCAGCAGATGGTGTAATGGTTATGTCACTGGACTCCCACACATGGTTGATCGCGGTTCGAGTCCCAGACCTGGTGGCTTCAAACTCATGCCGGGGATGTGTGTGTGCCTAAAATCCCGAGAGGAGTCTAAATAAAGGAGAAGGGGGTCACGGCATGGCCATTCCCGTTGGGGGGTGATCTCTCACTTTCTGTCTCTCTGGAGAGCACACACACAACTATAGGAAAAATCTCTCTTTAAAAAAAAAAAAGATAATCTACTAAAGTATATTAATAATCAAAAAATGGAAAACTAAGTATCTTTGGGTACAAAAACATGTTATTAAGGTCTGAACTTATGAGACCCTGTATAAGACAAGAACCAAGACACATTAAAAATGCCCTGTATCTATAATTCCAGAAGAACAGGCAATACACATCAACCTTTAAGAAGCTTATAATGAGGGCTGGCTTCAAAGCCTAGTGGTTAAGGAAGCCGAATCCCGCATAGCTGAGCATGGTTCAAATCCGGCCCCTATGACTAAAAAACTCGCTGGTTACTCGTGCGTGCTCAAAATCCTGACAGGATGGAGAAGTGGAGGAAAAGGGATGGCAGCACAACCACGCCCCACTGGAGGGTGCTCCTCTCTGTTCTGGGGAGTCCACACATCCCCTGGCAAGTAAAAAAAAGAGAAAAAGATGCTTCTGGTGATCACTATTTCAACGACCAGGCCCCTGTTTCGAAGTGAGCCGACTGGTACTTAAACAGGAGCACTTCTTCCTGCTGCCCTTCCTCCCATGATCAACAAAGATTTTCAAAGGAGATCAGATTTAATCAGACTCCGCTGTGCCACTTGTTTCTGGGCTTTTGAAGATATTTTAACCCATCTGTTAAAACATTATCCAGGGACCAGCAGATGACGTAATGGTTACGTCACAGGGTTCCCAGGTGGTTGACCATGCTTCAAGTCCTAGACCCAGCGGCTTAAAACTCACACTGGGGCACATATGTGTGCATGTCCAAGATCCCAAGAGAGAATGGAGAAGGGACTGCTGCGTGGCCATCCCCCTTGGGGGGGTGATTTCTTACTTTCTGTCCAGCAAGTACATGCAACCTATAGCAAAAATCTCTGTCTAAAAAAAAAAGCCCCACATTGTCCAGGTCTGGCAGGTGGTGCGGGGGTGAAGGTGCTGGACCCCAGCTGGCAAATCCACAGTTTGGGTCCCAGATCCAGGGGCTCAATGCATATGCTGGTGCCTATGTGTGCATGCCCAACTCCCAATAGGAGAATGGAAGGGAAGGGACTGTAAGGTGGCAATCCCCCAGGGGGAGTGACTTCTCACTTCCCCTCTCTGTCTCTGTCTCTCTGGCAAGCATCCAGCATCCTATGGCAAAAATCCAAAAACACACACAAAAACACAAAAAGCCCACATTGTCCAAACATCTGATTCTTACAAACAATGGTGAATACAAATTTCTAATTACACTATTAAAAACCCAAAGCACAACCAGAATTATTACGGTTCTTTCTCAAAATATTCAGTGTGACATCTTCTTTTCCACGAGATTATAATGAAGCTTACTATGGCATCATATCTGCATGAAAACTGCTGGGATCTAAAAAAAATCAGGACGCAGGCCCAAGGAAGTAAAGGCATCAAAAAAATAATGCGCTCTTCCCTTCCATACAGTTTTTATTTCTAAAGTATTACATTTAACTTATTTGCAATAAAGCCGACACGGATTTGACCATAAGAGTCACATATTCTTACAACCTCTCAATACGGAAGTGAAGTTTAGGGAAGAGATGTTACAGCAGAGCGGAGAGAGCGAGTACTGGTAGTGGGACAGAGCATCGGCACGCATCCTACTCATCAGCACACCTACTGTCAACGGATGACGGCCCCGACCTCGTTCTCAGCCCTTCTACCTTCTCTCGGGTCGGGAGGGTCTCCTGGAATAGTGATACACTGACCTAGCATTCGCTATTTTTCGATTCTGAAATGGACTCAGTGTATGTCAACTAATGCTGGCCCTCAATCACCTCAAATGTAAAACAAGTGGATTGGAGGTTAAGAAAAAAAAAAAATTCCTGAAATTCTATCTAGGGGCCGGCAGGTGACGTGATGTTTAAGGTGCTGAACTCCCACATAGCTAGCATCAGTTTGAGTCCAGGACCCAGTGGCTTGAAAATCATGCCGGTCACGTGTGCGTGTGCCCAGTGGCCGTCCTGCATGGGGGGAGGGGGGGTAATTTCTTGCTTTCCCTCTCTCTTCCTCTCTCCAGCAAGCGCACATGTCCTATGGCAAAAATGTAAAAAATAAATAAATAAATAAAATAAAGAAAGAAAAAAGAAAAAATCCTATCAGTCTAAAACCCTTATACCCCATAGAAAGCCAAGCATTCTTGGGACCAGCAGATGGCATATGGCTATGTCGTTGGAGAGTCGACTATAGTTTGAATCCCAGACCCGGAAACTTAAAACTCACGCTGGGCACGTGTGCGTGCGTGTCCAAGATCCCAAGAGGAGAAAGGAGGGGAAGGGATTGTGGCGTGGCCATCCCCCCAGGGGGTGATTTCTCGCTTTCTGTCTCTGTCTCTCCAGTGTGCATACGCACCCTATAGCAAAATAATTTCACTCTTTTAAAAAAAAAAAAAGAAGAAGAAGGGAAGCCAAGCATTCTTAGCCCTGACAGGAGAGCCAGCTGGTAAAACCTGCCTGGAGGACAACTAGACAGTACATACCAAAACTCTTTAATGCTCATATCCTGACCCAAGCAATCAAGCAAGTCTACTTTTAGGACTTTTTCCTAAGGAAGTTATCATGTGCATAAACGCAGTTACAGAAATATTCATCACACCATTTGTTTAGAAACAAATTAAATGTCTTAGAGTAGGAAATGGCTAAATAAATGATGTTAGACAAATATCCACCGCATGGAAAGATATTCATTATAATGAAAAGCAGGTTATAAATGAACATAACCTCCATTTGGGGATGTACACACACATATACGCATACAGGAAAAAGATTAGAAGGTTATGCTGAAACTGTAGATTTTTCCTGGATGGTAGAATTTAGTATTTTATTTTGTTATTTATTTATCTGTCTTAGGTTTTTGCCACAGGACATGTGTGCTCACTGGAGACAGAGAAAGACAGAGAAAAGGAAAATGATCAATCACTCCCATGCAGGATGGCCATGCCACAATCCCTTCTCGTCCATTCTCCTCCTGGAATTTTGGGCATGCACACACATGCACCCAGCATGATTTTCAAGCTGCCAGGTCTGGGACTCAAACCCCAGTCCACCATGTGGGAATCCAACATCTTAAACACAACCTGCTGGCCTGAATTTGGTTATTTTATTTTATTAATAATTTTCGAAGGTTTTGCCATAGGGCGCACACGCATCCATCAGAGAGGTAATCCCTGCTTGTGATCCCTTCTCCTCCTTTCTCCTCCTGAGATTTTAGGCATGCATGCACACACACCCGGCATGGTCTTCAAGCTGCCAGGTCTGGGACTCAAACCACACACAACTGGCCATTTGGGAGTTGGCCATGTGGGAGTCCAGCACTGTAACCACCATGCCACCTGCTGGCCCCATAAATTTGGTATTTTATAACTTCAACTTTTTTTTTTTTTTTTTTTTTAAGGTTTTTGCCATAGGGCACATGTGCTCGACAGAGAGGAAAAAATGAGAAATCAAGCCGATGTTGATTTGGCCATGTCACACTCCCTTCTCCATTCTCTTGGGATTAGGGGCACACATACACACTTACCCAGTGTGATTTGTCAAGCTGTCAGATCCAGGACTCAAACCATGGTCAGCCATGCGGAAGGCTAGCACCTGAACCACCCCACCACCTGTTGGCCCCATATATCTTCAATGTTTTGCTCATCTGTATTTACTAAATGTTCTACTATAAACATATATATCAATTATGTTGGAAGAATCAGTGTTAAAGAATCAGTTTTAAAGTTGATTATACTTCAGCTTCTATTCTTCTGGTCCTCAAACAATAAAACTCTATTATTTAAGTCAATCACCTTTGAAAAGACTAGAGTTATATATTAAATAAAATTTTAGCATTATAGAAAATTTATACATAGTAAGTCAAATTGTTAAAAAAAAAATCTAGTTATCTATTCATATAGTAAATAGAGATGCAGGCACCTCAGTGATCAAGATGTGGTCTTGCTATTCAAGTATTCCTAGGAGTCGGCCTTGCAGCCTACTGGTTAAGGGAGCCAGATCCCACATGGATGACTAGAGCTTTAATACCAGCCCTGGGAGCTCGAAAAGCATGCCAGGCAAGCATGTGTTCAGGCTGAAAATCTGACAGGACGGAGAAATGGAGGAGAGGGGACTACAAGATAACCGTACTCCACTGGAAGGTGCTTTCTCTCTTTCTCTCTCTGGTGAACACATGTGCTCTAGAGGAATTAAAAAGTTTTAAGAAATAGTAAAGTATTCCCAAATAATGATTATAAAATATTCTGAAAATTCTTTACTAAAATACAATGTCATCAGGAATTCCATTTAAGAAAAAAGAAAACACCTAAGATTTAGAAAATACTAAAAGTTACAGGAAAGTATTACCTAGTAATTTAAATAACAGAACAAAATATTCTGCTCATATGGAATTGAAAAGCAAAGGATTAATAAAACTGTGGTAGTCTCAGGTAGAAAAACATGAGAAAATACACCTACCTGTACTATACAAGTTCTCATCTTGACCAAGAAAACAAAATAACTATGAGCTAAAAATTTTTGGTTTGGGAGCCAGCAGGTGGCATGGTGGTTAAGGAGCTATTTAACCATATGGTCAACTGTGGTTCAAGTCCCAGACCCAGTAGCTTGAAAATCATGCCAGGTATGGGTGAAGAGAAGGGAGTGCTGCATGGCCATCCTCCCAGGGGGTGATTTCTCACTTTTCCTCTCTGTGTCTCTCTCTGGCAAGCACACATGTCCTAAGGTTTAAAAAAAAAAAAAAAACACCTCCATTTGGAAGATTTATGGAAATGAAAAGGAAGTTACTGTCAGTGAGGGTTACTGATAATGACTGAAAAAACCTGAAAAATCTTCAAAAATATCAATTACGGGACCAGCAGTTAGCGTAACGGCTATGTCGCTGGACTCCCACGTAGTTGACCGCAGTTCACGTCCCAGACCCAGTGGCTTAAAACTCACGCCGGGTGCGTGTGCGTGCGTGCCCAAGATCCCGAGAGGAGAATGGAGGAGAAGGGATTGCGGCGTGACCATCCTCCCTGGGGGGTGATTTCTCACTTTGTGTCTCTCTGTCTCTCTCTGTCTGTCTGGTGAGCACACACGCCCTATAACAACAACAACAAAAAAACTCAAAAAATTATCACCAACTGAAATGTCAAAGAAAATGACAACTTAAGACAGTTCCTTCAACTTTATTCTTTCTGTCTAGGTCTGCAGAGAGGCAATAGATACGAGAGCTTATAGGCTCATAAAGAAGAAAATAAAATTTCAACAAATGCAAAATGAAACTGTGAGTTAAGTCATTTTTCCACTATAAAAATATTGACTGCTACTTTTCAAGTTTCTGCCAATTTATTTAATAAATTACAGCATGTAATCTGAAATTTGAGAGCATTATAAAAACCCAAAAGAACACTTAATATTTAAAGGAAAGTACAAAGAAAATTTACCAAATATTAAAGCCAATCCATGGGATGTACCCACTGCTATCAGACTGGACACTGCCTGAAAACAAAAGAGAATATTACATTTTACAATATTATATCAGAAATCTTGAAATACTCAGAATTGAATTAGTCAGCCTTCCTTTCTTGAAGCACAGATGGTATCCCGGCTACTGTCAATGAAAAGAATCCAATCAGGAGGCAAGTGGGAAATGGAACACAAGACCTTTTATTTCTGAGGATTCCTCTAAATTTATCTTAAGGATAAATAAATTTCCAAAGTTTGATCAAAACTTCATATGTTTGGTCCAGCCACGGTGGCTCAGGAGGTAGGGCGCCACTCTGCAAAGCTGGAAGTCACATGGAGGATCGGGGTTGAACTCCCAGCTTGACCTGAATATGCCAGGTATGGGGGAAGGTGTGGGCTTGTATGCCTGTTACTCTGGCTGGCTGAAAAAGCCGGGAACGACAGGGCCCTCACAAGGGTACCTTCTCTCACAGCCTCTCTCTCCCTCTCTTACCAAAGAAATAAAATAAAGAAACTTTTTTAAAAGGGGGGGAAGGAGGCTGGCCTACTATTAAGTGTTGGCTTCACATGGCTGATCATGGTTCAAATCTCTGCCCTGGTGGCTTGAAAAATAAGCTGGGTGCATGTGTGTGCATGCCCAATGTCCCAAAAGGATAGAGAAATAGAAAAAGAAGGGATTGCAATGTGACCACTTCCCACTGGGGAGTGCTTTCTCTCTCTCTCTCTTTCTGTCTCTCTGGTGAGCACACACACACACCCTGTGGCAATTAAAAAAATAATAAAGTAAAAAAATTTTAAAAAAGAAGGAAGAAAGTCAGGCAGGAAAGCATTTAATCTAGTACCATGTTTGGTACTATATCTAGTAAAGAAGTCCTTCCTTTAAAAAAACAATGTGGGGAACCAGCAGTTAGTGTAATGGCTGTGTTGCTGGATTCCCACGTAGTCGACCGCGGTTCGCGTCCCGGATCCGGTGGCTTAAGACTCACGCCGGGCGCGTGTGTGTGCGTGCCCAAGATCCCGAGAGGAGAATGGAGGAGAAGGGATTGCGGCATGACCATCCCCCCGGGGAGTGATTTCTCGCTTTCTGTCTCTATGTCTCTCTCTGCCTGTCTGGCGAGTGCACGCGCCCTACAGCAAAAATCTCTCCAAAAAAAAAACAATGTGTACATGTACGTGTGCGAGAGAGAGAGAGAGTGTGTTGTGTTTATAAAATGTTCAACATTATAGGCAAAAACATGCCACTTGACTTCCTTTAAAGCAACTAAAAACAAAAACAAAAAACAAAAACTGAGGGGCTGAAATCCAGACAAAGTAAGAGGCATTTATGCTCTTACTTCACCCAACAAAGAGCCCCCCCGATACGTGGGGACGTGATGAAAATACACTTGTTTACCCACTGGAGCCGAAAGGGAGTCAGAAATGTTCACAACTCAGCCCTCCTCCCAGCCCGGTGAGTAACAGGAAAGCCACGGGGCGGCTGCGGTGGAGGGCAGAGCACCCAGTACTGTCAGTGTCCCTGGTCCTGTTCAACCACTCACTGACTGACTGTGGCAATGGAGCCCAAAGCTGTTAATGTGCTATTCCCACAAGTGACTTTACCAAATGCTGTTTTCACTCCCTTTCACAGAACGAAGGCCAAATCATGGAAGAAGCACGCTGACTAGGGCAGGGCGCTAGCACATACAAATAAACCTGAACAAGGCTCATGTCTACACCAGTATCTGCTTCTTGAACAGAAGTCTAAGGAGTGACAACAAATTCGGGAAAAAATGCAACATGGACACATTTTAAACCTAACAAATGGCAGAGAAGTGCCTTATTAATTTATCATGCTATTTAACACAATAACTTTAAACACTGTAAGAATAGATCTAAGAAACTAAAACTTTAAAAAGTTAAAAGTATACTTACAATTGCTGTAGGTAAGCCAGCATCTACTTTATCCTAAACAAAATTAAAAAAAAAAAAAAAAAAAACGTATTTGAGAATCAATTCCCATTGTAAAACAGAAAAAAGCATAAGGCTCTTCTTTACATATTCTTTTTTTTTTTTTGACTTTTTTATTATAAATTTTTTTTTCTCAACACAACACACATATGAATTTTCCATCCAAAATACACTGTGCATTGGCTCAATCAAGCACATCAATATATATGTTCTCAGCAAATGATTTCCCAATTTTTGTGTCCTGCATACCTTGCCTTTTGTTTTGCCATCCTAGGTTCCCCATCCCCACCTTCTGCCATTTCTTTACATATTCTTTGATCCAAATCAATTGAGACAAGAGGTAGAACCTTCCGTTTTAAACCCAACTAAGAGAAATTACAAAAGCTGTATATAGCAATAAAATAGAAGGTGAGAGTAGATCATTTTATTTTACTAAAGAAAACAGATGCTTCAGGGTACTAGTTATAGATGGAATATAAAAGAAAAGGAGAACAGAAAGAGTTGTTTTATACACACACACACACACACACACACATACACACACACACACACACATATATAAAGTGAATAAAATCTAAGTACTATGTGGTCAAAATGGTAGGAATACACAAAGAGTTGAGAAGATAGTCCTCCTCTGAGTAGGAGTGTCCTACCCAGCAGATTATTCAGGAACCCCTACTAGATAAAGCCCCCGCAGGGCATATTCAGTCAGTTCCCAAGCAGAAGCAAATCAAGCCTTAAGCACTAGTCCCAGCTCTTTACTAGTAACTGTACAACTTTGGGAAACTCATCTACTTTTCTGGATACTGATCTCATCTTTTCAAAAAAAAAAAAAAAAAACACACAGCAAATACTGCCTTATTTTCCACAATGAGTTGACCTAAGGTTCAAACTAAATGTAAAAGATGATATAAATCTAAGAGTATCTAAGAAGATCCTCCACTAACTTACAGCAGGATCATGTCCTAATAAACTCCTCACGAGTTGAAAACATCATTTACTTGGGGCCAGCAGGTGGCACAGTAGTGAAGGTGCTGGACTCCCACATGGACAACTGCAATTCGACTTTCAGACCTGGCGGCTTGAAAATCATGCAGGGCACGTGTGTGTGCCTGCTCAAAATCTCAGCGGGAGAGTAGAGGAGAAGGGACTGTGGCATGGCCATCATCCCTGGGGGTGATCTCTCACTTTCCCTCTCATGTCTCTCTCTGTCTCTCTGCTCTCCAGTACACGTGCCCTACGGCAAAAACCTTACCGAAAAAAGAAAACGCCATTTAGTCAAAGATACATCTAGTACACCTAGCCTACTGCACATCAGAGCTTAGCTTAGCCTGCCTGCCTCGAGTGCACTCAGAACACTTACATGAGCCTACAGTTAGACAAAGCCCATTTTATAATAAAGTGTTGAATATCTCATGTAATTTATTAAATACTGAAAGTGAAAAACAGAATGGTCATATGGACACTGCAAGTACAGTTTCTATCGCATATATAGCTTTCGTGCCATTGTAAAACTAGAAGACTTTAAGCTGAGGCCAGCTGCTATGGTGCAGCAGTAATGCAGTGTCCTGCACGGCTAACGACAAGTTTGGATCCCCAGGTCAGCCTGAAAACGTGCCGAGCAAGCTATGGGCACGTAGGCACCTGAGAAACCAGAGAGCTGGGGAAAGAGAATCACAGTGTAACAAGACCCTGTCGAGGGTTCTCTATCTTTCACAAGAATATGCACGAGCTCCCTATCGTTAAAAAAAAAAAAAAATTTAAGTTAAGCCACTGTAGGTAAGGCAATAAAATGGCAAGCACTTGATGCTGATGTAACTTTGAATAATAACAGCTTGTGGTGAGACAGCACTGTAGTAGCAAAGTGCTTGCACACACGTGTATTACACACAGCATTCGATTCTCAAGCCTGAGAGACAGAACAAGCAGCATTGTTTGGATTTTCCAGGTTAAGAAAATAGAAGTTTCTTGGGAACCAGCAGTTAGCGTAATGGCTATGTCGCTGGACTCCCACATAGTCGACCGCGGTTCGCGTCCTGGACCCGGTGGCTTAAAACTCACGCCAGGCGCGTGTGCGTGCATGCCCAAGATCCCGAGAGGAGAAGGGAGGAGAAGGGATTGCGGTGTGACCATCCCCCCTGGGGGGTGATTTCTCACTTTCTGTCTCTCTCTGCCTGTCTGGCGAGCACACGCGTCCTATAGCAAAAAATAAACCTCTCCAAAAAAAAAAAGAAAAGAAAATAGAAGTTTCTAAAGGCTTAGCTGACTTGCCCATAGTCACTCAGTGAGTGGTTGCTCACGTCTCAAACTTGGTACTTCCAGTTCCCAGGTCAGGCTCTTTATAACACGCCTGTGTCTTTTCTCTATGTCTGTTCCTTTCACTGTGGTTAATTAATATAATCTCTTAAAAACCAACTAATAATAATCTCGTATGTAACTAAGTTTGTAGAACTTCCTAGAACTAACTTGAGAAACTTGTTTAGTACCTAGAAACATTAAGAACGTCAAGGCTGCTCAGTACAATGTTCTGGACAGTGGCAATGACCAGGTCTGTGTGCACATGCGTGAGCAGGAGGTATGCCGAACATGACGCACAACAATTAAGAAGCATGCAATAAATATTTGGTGTCTGACTGAGTTGTGTCATAGACAGGGAAAAAAAGAAATGAGACAGCAGATGAAGACCATAAGCTGTATTCAAAATGGAACTGAATAATGAAATCAGAAGTCGCTTGACTTCAAAAGCTTAAACACACACACACACACACACAAACACACACACACACGTGGGAAGCATTCTAGACATTACAGAATTTTAGTACTAGTATTGCAGTACTTTAGGGTAGTAGTTCCAAAACCCAGCGTGATTGGAATCATCTGAGATGCCTGTTTAAAATGTAGATCCCTACCTATAGCTATACCCCTGAAGATTCTGACTCAGTAGGCCTGAGGTGGTCCCACAAATATGCATTTTAATATGTACCCCGAGGAGATTTTTTTTAAGAATAATTTATTTAATTTTATTTATCATTACTCTTATTTTTTAATTTGCTAAGGGCACATGTGCTTACCAGAGAGAGAGAGAGAGAAAATAAACTGCCAGGTTTGGGACTTGAACTGGTCAGCCATGTGGGAGTCCAGTGCCTTAACCACCAAATCAACTGCTGGTCCCCCAGGAGATTCTCATGCATTGGATGCATTTTGAAAAAACACTGCACTAAGGTAGTTCTAGCATAAAAATGATAGATTAGGCTGACTTCATGGCCTGGTGGTTAAGGCAGCCGGATCCCATAAAGCTGACCATGCAGTCTGAGTTCCAGACCCGATGGCTTGAGAAACGTGCCAGGCACGTGTATGCATGCTCCGAATCTCAAAAAGAGGAGAGCTAGAGAAAGGACTGTGGAGTGGCCACTCCCATGGGTGGTGCTTTCTCCTTTCCCTCGATCTTTCTGTGTCTCTGGTGAGCACACTTACCCTCTTAGCTTAAAAAAAAAAAGAGAAAAAAAAAAGATGAAGATCAATAAAGGGTTAATTTTAATTAATTTTAAAGCTAGTCATATCATATGACTTAGAGAAGGAGCCCAAAATTAAACAATGAGTTTCATAACTCCAGAAATGTCATCCTTCCTAAGTGTTTTCCAAGCAGGGACTCCAAAACTGTGATGATCAAGGCCCTAAGCCCTAATAACATCTCTATCCACATGGCTGAAGGGACTATTGAACAGCTATTCGAGAGAAATCCCCCAAATATAACTAGCTTTACATGTTAATAAACCAACCATCACAGAAAAGCACGCAACTTAAATTGAGCTGGTAATCCAAAATTAGAAAGGCACCGTATGACGACTGTCACAGGAAAAGCAGTTTTCATTTTAACATACCAAAGGAACTCAGCCATAGCAATGAAATAAGAACAGAATGCAAACACTCTGGGATTTATTAGAACTTTCCCCTCCTCTTCGAGAGGGAGGAGAAACCCTTTTAAATAACAGATTTATCTAATCATTGTTCAGTGTCTGAGTTTTAGTTCAGTCTCCATTATTCAAAATATTTTTAAAACTGCCCAGGTGGGTCAAATGACTGTTCTGGTTCATCTTGATTTTGAAAGGAAAGAATTTCATCACCTACATAAGGATTAAATTCAGAAAACGTCATGGAAATGTAATCCTCTACAGGTGGTTCCCATTCTAGCCAATATGAGTTGCTCTCCACCTAACAGAGGAAGGACAATTGCCTGGGTTTCCTCCATTGCCTGACAGTCTCTGTTTAAACTGACTTTGGGGTGTAAGAGCTGGGTCAAGATATACCAACTGCCTATAGTGAACACTTTTATTTTTTTTGATAACTGTAATAGGAGCTTTCTGCAAAAGACCTGAAACAGCGATGCAATGCTGGTGTCATGAAATGACTCCTGTATCCATTTCTCACCCTCTTGAAAAATCAAATCCTCTATTTCTTATCCAAATTGAATATACAAAATGCAATTAAACTCCTTAAAAAAATAAAAACCATAAAAACACATAAAATTCCCTGGAGTATAAATCCGTCATCATTACCATTATCCGTAGGATCTATTAACTGGACTTAAAAACTGAAATTGACAGACTACCTACCTAAATCATGGTCAAAGAAAGAGTTGGATAATGTCAAACAAAAGTTAGGTCAGGACAGTTTGATCAATGCCTATTGTCTGGATGAACTATTAGATATTTTTTACATTAACCCAGTGCTCTAAATCATTTTCCAAAAGGACGACCAATACTCTGTCCCAGTCATTATCCACTGGTCACATCTCACAGGGTCACCTCCATTTCATGCCACAGGCACTAGACTTGGAGCCAGAAACCCCAATTTTGAGCAACTGCTCTGCTACTTCCTAACTGAATGACACAGGACAAGTTTCTAATCACCGCCGCTGAACCTGTCTCATCTGTAAAACAGGACATGGCTTTTCCTGCTCTGGAAGTTGTAAGAGTATATGAAGTAGGTACATGAAGACCTCTGTGGATTACACAAAAGAAATCACTGAGTCCTCAAAGATTCTGATCAATCACCTTTCCATATGAAAAGACTAAAAGAAATAAGCATTCTACCTCCACCAAATACGAGGATGGCCACTGAACGGAAAAGGAATCTAAAGAAAAGGCTGACAGTGTTTATTTTAGGCTGCTGCCACATTTCATTTAGGCACACCCGAGACTCTGAGCAGATCTTTACTTTCATGGCTGCACTAATTTCTATGTCAAGATGTGTAGCCATGTCTCATGAGTAAAAAATAATCACAGAAAAACCATGAAAGCCAGATTCTATTCTTCTTAAGCCTCGGGCCAAGAGAAGTGCTGTGCTTTGTTCTGTACTCATTCCGACTCCGTTATGCCGCTGCAGGTTATAAGGCTGGGGGGAGAGGACAAAATACTTACAGCTGCAGACACTATCTGGGCAGAAATTCCCTTCAAAAGGGAATGTCGCATAACGGAGCCATGGAGTGAAAAACAATCGGGTAATTTCTTCTTCCTAAAAAAAAAAAAGGAATAAAGAAAGAATAAAGAAAAGGTTTAAGAACAGTCAGGAAAAATCGAAAAGCTGAGACTCAATGCTTTGGAAAGGAAACATAAAAAATATGAAAAGCAGAAGATAACTCTGCTAGCATGTACCTTGTTACTCTGTTTTAAAAAGAGGTATAAAGCTAACTGCCCTGCATTAGGAAGTTATATGAAATCCACCTTGAACCTCAAAGAAGCACACAGGCTGAAAAAAAAAAAGAATAAACTCTCACCATTGCTTTTTCATCATTCCTTGCCCACCCTAACTAAAGCGGAAGTAGGTTCTGTCTTCCAGAGGGCTGCGAGCACTCCTCCTGCCTGCAGGTCTCCACCTCTACTGACCTTCCTGCCCTGCTCCTGGCTATGACCACCCTGCATTCTTCAACTACCCTCTCAAACTCCCCTTACTCACTCTGCTGCTTCCGTTAACAAGCTGGTTCTTTTACTTATTCATCAGTAAGAAAGTAACTTTTAAACTTTTACCAAACCTTACTGAGCACCTACTCTGTACGACTAAAAGTATGCTCTGAGGATACAAAAATAAGGAAGTTATAGTTCCTACCATCAGGGACCTCACTCCTTAGCTAGAGGGAATGATGAGTACTGATACAGGATAAACGCAAGACTAAAAATAGGAATAAAGCACAATACAAATGCAAATGGAGAGTTTAATCCTATTTATTTGGAGGACATTAGGGGCAGTTATAGAAAAGAGAAGATGTCTGATCTGGCCTTGATGGATGATTAGAGCCTGTCAGGCAAAAAGCACAGCTGGGAAATGCAGATGAAAGGCGCACAGTGTCTGGAGAACAGTAAATACACACAGGGCATGGACTGGGAGGACTGGCCTAAGCAAAGGCACAGTGGGCAGCAAACCCATCTGCAATGCTGGAAGCCACAGGGCCAACCACAGTTCAGAGCCCCAGGTCAGCCTAAAACATTGCAGGCACATACACGTGTGCCCGAGATCCTGACAGACTAGAGGACTCAGGGGGACGGATCATGGACGGATGTGACCCTTCCAGTGCCTGCCTCCCTCCCTCTCTCTCTCTCTCTCTCTCTCTTCCCCTTCCTCCCTCCTTCCCTCCCTCTTGTGGGCATGCATGTGCTACTGTAAATAAAAATAAATATGCTAAAAAACACGAAGCAGGGTCCAGACGGATGCCACACAAGGAAGTTCTGACTTCATCATGTGAGCAATAGTATGACAACGCAGCTGTTAAACAGGTAGTGCCCAGATCATCAAAGCGTGTAAGCTTTTTACTTGGTGGACACAGTGATGAACAGGTTAACCTGTCGAGCAATGGCCCTGTCCCACAGGAGATGACAACCTAAAGAAGACAGTTACTGAAACAGGCAAAATTTGAGAAAGAAGGAAAAATACAGACAACTTTATCAATATTCGATTACACATGAATTTAATAAAGTATTTATATTATAATTCATCCACTTCTCTTTCCTTTTCATGTTCTCTCCAGGAATTTGGAAGGTGAAAAGCAGCCAAAATTGAAGTTATTTAGGGTTAAAAGTTCTTTTCCCAAATCTTTAATCATCTTTGTGATTTTCCTCTGAACCCACTTCAAGGGAAAGAAGGAATGCTGGAGACAACCTCAGAGGTGGTGGGATGGGGGTGGGGGGTGCGGGGAGCAGAGGAGTGGGCAGGGAACCTAGCTCCATGCTTCCACTACAGACACTGTGCCAGGCTGGATTTGGGTTCCCTCTAAGGGCTCTGCTATTTCCAGAAGTCCCTGCCTATTGTGATGGGTCCCTGCTAGGGGTTCAGAAGACAGGGGTCACAGCACCTACCTTTTAATCTTCTCCCTCAACAGTGTCAAAATCTTTAGCTCTAATGGCCATATTATTTTCATACAACTGGACTTTCTACCTCCCAATTGGTCTGTTGGCTTCAACAGAACAAGTTTTAACAAATATGCGAGTGTAATGATTTATATGAACACTTACCTTTTTAAGTTGGTCCTGTCACCACTATCTGAGCTTGCTACAGATGAAGTATCATACGAGTGAGAATCAATAGTGTCAATGTTTAACAATGTCGGATCCTCAAGAACAAATGATTCATCCTCATCATCCGTCTAATTGAAAGAAGATAGATCAATAGACTTTAAAATCCCAAATACCCCATGAGATGAGCAGATACGATTAATGAGTTACTTCAACACATTCGAGCGCTTACTTCTGCATTTCCCCTCTGTTCTATGCATTCTTACAGACCAGAGAGGCAAAGTACAGAATTACCAGACTTGAATTCCAACTCTTGATACGTCTCTCTCTCTCTACAAAGAACTCGCTCCAGAGGCCAGCAGGTCACATGGTGGTTAAGGCGCTGGACTATCACAAGGTCGACCACAGTTCAAGCCCAGGACCCAATGGCTTGAAAATCACACCAGGTACATATGCATGTGTGTCCACGCATGAAGGAGAAGGAACTGTGCTGTAGCCATCCCCTTGGGGAGGAGGGATTTCTCTCTGTCTGTCTGTCTGTCTGTCTCTCTCTTTCTCTCTCTCTCTGGAACAAGCATACATGCCCTATGGGAAAAACCTAAAAATTAATTAAAAACCTCACTGTAAAAACTTCTTTCTTGGAGCAGAAAAGCAGGAGCAGTTACAGATATTGTTAAATGTGGAATATTCCTTAACATTCAAATCTGTACAGAGAGTTTCTTAGTTAACTGTCAATGGCTAATACGAAGAACACAACAGCCCACGGTGAGAACAAGACACGCGGGCAGAAGAGTGGCATTCTGCAGAGGAAACGGCATGTGCACACACAATAATTTCCTAACAGGAGAAGGAAGTGGTCACAGCGGCTGAAATGCATGGGTAGAAGATGGAGAAGGCCCCAAAGATGTGATTCAAATTGTAAAAATCTTTATATTCCATTAAGCCAGGTGGCAGCAGAGCCCACCTACCCTGTCCAGCACTGTGCCCTCTGTGCCCAGCACGACGCCTGACGTATAATCAGTACCCGACTATTCATTAACCAGTATATGATATACAGTGGATTGACAGGAAAGTCACAACGCAGACAAAAACACACGGCTTTCCTGACAACCTAACAGTAGGTCGTGGGAAGGCAACGGAGATTTGTTTTTGTTTTTTTTTCTTAACATGTCAGAGGGCGTGTGTGGTCGCCACAGAGACAGATAGAAGGGGGAAAGTGAGGAAGCAACCCCCCACGGGGATGATAATGTCAAAACCTCTGCTCCCCTGTCTCTCCTTTAGGAATTCTAAGCATGCACGCACATGTGCGCGGTGTGTTTCTCAGGCTGCCAGGCCCAAGACTCGAACCGCCCAGTCGGCTCTATGGGATCGAGCTGCCTTAACCACCAGCTAGCCCAGTAACTGAGCTTTAAGAAGTGCAGAGACACGATGGGAACCCTGCTGTAGAAAGATAAATGTGGCAGTAAGAAGAATGGATGAGAGTAGAGGGCGAGGCTGAGGCAGGGAGATCACTAAGGACCAGCAGAAGAGCTACTGAATGTCAAGGGAAGCGTAGATTCCGGCTTTAGGACGCAACAGAACAGGTCGTGAAAGGCCATGAGACTTTACTGAGAAAAAATCAAAAGTCCACGGCTACCATTTAACTGGGGGCAGGGGCGTGGGGAGAGAGGGAGGTAAAGGGAACGTCAAAGAACGTTCCGAAGTGTTCAGCTTGGGCAAGCAGACAAAAGATCTGACTAACCGGTTTATGAAATGAGACCGAGAGCATAAAGCGTGATGAGCTTGGCTTCGCATCAGCTCATTCTGAATGGCAGACATCAAAATGGATATTCTGATCCTACCAACTCTTTCAGGTGGACTGCCTCTGCCTTACCATTTCCGATCGATGTTCCTGAGAGAATAAGTTACATCATCTCCACATTCTCCACTCATCACAGTGGACTGCGGACCCTGCGGCAGTTACCAGCCAAACCTAGGGGGCTATTTTCAGTGAGCACGCTCTGGTCCCTCCATGTGCAACTCGGCCCTGTTGACCATTCCCCACTCCTTCACACTTTCTCTCCCCTTGGTATCCAGCACGGCTCTCTCTCTTTCCTAGTTCTTCTTCAACGTGTGTGGCATCTTCTTATCAGACATGTTCTCTACCTCTCCTCAGCCAACGGTTCAAGGTAGCTGCTCTTCAGGATTCTATTCTTGGCTCTCCTCTCCTGACTTCGCACACTTCCTATGTGAGCAAGCTCGTCCATACTTGTGTCTTTAAGTACCGTATTACACTGATGACACCAACAGCTGTGTCTTCAGCATCAACATTTCTCGTGAGGTTTAGCTCCATGTTTAGAACTGCTTTTCAGATATCTCCACAAATAAATCTGCTAAGGGCTGGGCTAGGATTTGCAAAGAGACATTATGTTACTCGAGAGCTGTGAAGGACTGGAACAATTGGGAGCCCTGTGGCCGAATGGTTAAGGGAACAGGATCCCATGTGGTCAACCACAGTTCACATTCTGGCTCTACTGGCTTGAAAAATACACTGGGCACCTGCGCGTGTGTGCCCAGAACCTGACAGGATGGAGAAATGGAAGAGAAGGGATTGTGGGGTGAACACACCCCTCTGAGGGTGCTTTCTCCTTCTCTCTGCGTCTCTCTTTCCCTGGTAATGCACATGCACCCTGACAATGAAAAATAAGAGACTAGAACTACTGCTTTAAGAAAAGGAAAAATAAATAATTCAGAAATAGAAACTGCAGCACCAACGTCTTAAGCAGGAGAGTCAACCAAAACCTTGATTTCCTTAAGCAGCCTAAGGACATAATTAAAATACATCGGCTGCGTTAAGCCGAGAGTACAGGGAAAGTGGAAGAAAAAGTGGGGGAAAGAATTGAGAATGTCAAAACTGAATTTAAAATCACTGCTATACAGTAGAAATATCAATTTCACTCAAACAGAGAGATAAAATCACCAGCCCTATCAAATTTCAGCTGATCTGTATGTGTAAACTGGTAAAGTTATTCTGAAACTTATGTGGAAATGCAGAACAACAAGAATAAGCAAGAAGATCCTGAAGAACAGCAAAGCTGGAAGATGTGAAACAACAAGACCTATCCCAGAGGTCCCACCACTGCAATGACACCGGGATAAGCACAGACGGGCCAGTGAGATCACACCCACAGAGACACGACCACCCTATCTGTAACAACGGCGACACCACAGACAGGAATTCTCTTTTCAATGAAGGGTGCTGGCTCATCCCTATTACACACAAACACACAAAACATTTCAGACGAATTACAGCCTAAGTGTGAAAGGTTGAACAAGAAGATTTAGAAAATTATCAGGTAACATCATCAAGACCTTGAAATTGGCAATATTCCATTAAGCAAGGCACACAGAAAAACTAACCATAATAGAAAATTTTAATAAGCTAGACTATCTTAATATTAAAAACTTCTGCTTATCAAAAGAAAACATTAGCAGGCTGGTGGTACACACATATAATCTCAGCTACTCAGGAGGCTGCGGCAGAAGGATTGTGAGTTTGAGGGGCCTGGGCAACACAGCAAGACCCTGCCTCAGGGAAGAAAGAATGAAAGGAAGGAGGGAGGGAACGAAAAAGAGAAAGGAAGGAAAAGAGAGAAGGGGGAAAAAGGAAGGGAGAAAAGGGAGGGAGGAAGAAAAAAGCCCCAATGGCTTGAAAATCACACTGGGTGCATACGCGTGCATGCCCGAGATCCCACAAGGAGGCTGGAGAAGGGGACTGCTGTGTGGCCATCCCTCCCAGAGGTGATCCTCACTTTCCCTCTCCCTGTCTCTGTCTGGTGAGTGCACACACCCTACAGCAAAAAGTCAACAACAACGAAACAGAGTAAAAAGGCAACTTACAGAAAGAAAAGAGGTATTTGGAATACATATATCTAATAAAATGTGTGTACCAGGATATATAAAGAACGCCTATAAATCACTTTTTAAAAATTCAGCCAAATTAAGTAGGTTAGGGGCCAGCAGATGGTATGGAAGTTAAGGCACTAGACTCCCCTATGGCCAATCATGTTTCTAGTCCCAGACCCGGAGGCCTGAAAATAACACTGGACGCATGTGTGTGTGAGCCCAAAATCCCAGGAGGAGAATGGAGGAGAAGAAACCGAAGTATGGCCATCTCCCCCACCCCAGAGGATGATTTCTCACTCTCGTCTCTATCTCTCTTCAGCAAGCACACGTGAGCCCTATGGCAAAAACCTAAAAAAATATATAGTAATAATGATGCCACCACACACCTATAAGACTAAAGTGACTGAAGGCCAAAATGAAAAAAGACAGAAAAATTCAACAACTGACAAGGATATAATACCCAAACCTCTCCTACACTGTGGCTGGAAGTATGTAGCAGTACGACCACTCTGAAAATCTGTGGCAGTATTTGCTAAAGCTGACTACAACGATGCCTGATGACCCACCAGTTCTACTGGTAGGTACATGCCCCACAGAAATGTGTGTGAGTGAGTGTGTGTGTGTGTGTGTAAGTATCTGTGTATCAAAAGACATGAACAAGAATATTCACAGCAGCATTCATCATGGTAGCCAGGAACTGGAAACTATACAAATGCCTAACAATAGAATCCATAAACAACCATATATTCTGGGACCAGCAGATGGCGGTATGGTTACACTGCTGGATTCCCATGTAGGCGACCATGGTTCAAGTCCCAGACCAGTGGCTTAAATCTCACGTCAGACATGTGTGCATGTGTGCCCAAAATCCCAGTAGGAGACTGGAAGAGAAGGGACTGTGGTGTGGCCATACCCCCCAGGGGGTGATGGGATGATTTCTCACTTTCTGTCTCTCTGACAAGCACATCTGCCCTATACCAAAAATCTCTCTTAAAAAAAAAAGAGAGAGATTCATAAAGTATTCTATTCAAAATGGGAATAAGTTAACAATTACACAGGAAAATATGAACAAATCTAGAAACATAGCATTGAGGGAATAAGTCAGACACACAAGAGTGCATACTCTTGACATTTACGTCAAGTTCAAAGCAAGCAAAGTTACCAATGCTGGCAGAAGTCAGAACAGTAATTACCCCGGGGTTGGCTACCGAAGGGCACAAGAGGAGCGTCTGGCGTGCCAGTAACGTTTTGTTTATGATCTGCATTCTGGTTCACAGGGCATGCAATCTGTGGAATCACCATGCTTGCACACTTAGGAGTCGTGCACCTTTCTGCACATGTGCTATATATACTTCAATAAAAAGTTCAAAAGAAATTTCAGTTGCACAATCTAAGAGCAGGACCGAAGTAAACCTCAGAGACGAAGAAGGAGCAAGACACTTGCTCTTGATGAGGTCCAAAAATAGGTTTAATGGAAGTAAGAGAATCAGGGGGGAAATTTTATGATTAGAGAACAGAATTTTGAAACTAAAAACCTCAGACTCAGCACAGTTTCAAAGGCTGAGCAGGCCTTGTAACATTTCATGCCCTAAATTCTGAGATCTAAGATGTTTCAGTAACCTCTAGTTTTCTGTTTTAAAAAATACCTTGGCTGTCCATTTCTTCCAAGCGTCCCTTCAGGATGATGTTAAGATAATACGGAATATATGCATCCACATATCCCAGAGCAAGGACTTATTTGTACTTCTGACACTGTCCTTTTCATTTTTTAAAAGAATGATGTTCTTTAATAATCCTTCCACCTCCATAGTCTTCATAATAGTATATAACTTAAATTATTTTTCTTTCGCTATCTACCTTCCTGGCTCACTGCAGGCTTAAAGGCGGACCAATGTCTACTCCCATTTCTCCTGAAGGACAGGGACAGTCATGGACTACTTTATAACCCCAGCCTCTGACACCACGACCCAGATAAACTCTAGAGAACAATGGTACTATCTCCACAGTAAGCCACTCACAACTGTACTTACTGCTTCTCATAGAGAAGGACAGTTCCCTTCATTATGAACCATAGTCTCTCTCGTAAGCATTATTTTCAATATTATATGAAGATGTACAAATAGGGTGTTATACACAGCAAGAATATTTTTATTTCACGTTTAGTAAATTTAAATGAGGCTGCGATTAAGGCCATACTAACATATTAAGGCCATGTTAACAAAATTGATTAATTAATCTCCCCTATATTAAAACATAATAAAGGACATTTCACTGTAACAGGGTCTTCTTTCATGGACCAAAGTCCCTTTTGTCAAAACTAAAAATACTTAAGTCTTGACACACATTAGACAGAACATTTCTAAAGTTAAAATACATTCAAAGTTAAAATACATTCAAAGTAACATCAAACTGATATTTATAAAATAGAAATCAAAGCCATGTAAGAAAAATAAGATACAATCCACAGAAAAAGGAGTGCAAGTCCTATAGAATCTTGCATATAATCCCACAAATACAGGTAAAGGAGTAACAATGACAGAGGCCGAACCCAGGCAGAGCTATGATATCAGTGGGCATTCCTTTAGCAAAAAAAACCTTTGCTTCCTTGTCTTTTGAAAAATGACAATGGATCTGAAATAGACATATCCATTAAAAGGTCTCAAACTGGAAGCTATGCCCTCCGAAGGAACTGTTAGGAAGTTCCTAAAAGATCAAGAACATTGAGTTGAACACTTGTCAACAGATGCAGAGTATGTAAAAACTAGCCTACTTCCCCAAGTACATGCACAAAGCTCCTTTATAAAGCCTTTTGATCTGCCAATGCAGAAAGAACAGCACCATTTCAAAACTCTGAAAATCTTTTTAATAGAAGTGGTATTCACAAGATAAATGATGAAAGTCTTGTTTTCCTCATGTAGAAGGATGGTGAGGCTTATCATATAGCTGCAAGATGCTCTTCAGTATCAGAGGATAAGATACTTGAGTATCACTGGGAGAAGTAACTAATCATTATCAGCATATAATACAAAACTCTAAAGGGACAGAAGGGTAGTATTTCAATTCACTTAATAAAATATGAATTCTACCATGAGTCTGAGCACAGAAACTCTAAAGATGAAGACATGGTGTCTGTCCTTTGCGAGGTTCGTGCTCTGGACCAGCACTGTGCACGACTTTCGGCCATGAAAATACTGCGCATGCTGCTGTCCCCTCAGGAGCTGCTAGCCAGTGTGCCCACTGAACATTGGAAACGTGCCTCATGCAGCCGAGGAACTGAACTTCTATTTAACTGTACCGATTCCAATTTTAAACAGACACATATGATCCATGCCTACCATCCTAGAGAGTTCACATTTACATGTAACACTACAACTAACCCCAAAAGAATTGCAAACTCATGCCATAAAATGATGGTGATTGCTAATATTTACTTACCTCATTTAGTATGCTTTCCAGTGTGGGAGGAGTATCAACTTGGGGAATATCAAACTCCTTGTCATCAATCTAAAGGAAAGAAATCAATGCTCACATAAGGATGCCTTTCTCCCCTTATAATCAGGGAGGTGCTTCAGTTGACTAAAACTACTGTCAATTTTAAAACAAACTTTCGAAAAAACTGATCATACTGACAACTCAATAATACACAGTAATAGGGGTCAAGTCGAAGGACCACATAGTGGCCTGCTTTCCTGTCTACGTACTAAGTGACTACCAAGGACGCGTAAGCACTGGCTGCAAGGTCCTCCTAGTCCTTTCTAGAAAGTTTCACCAAAGGACTTTTGCATCTGCTTGTTAAACATGACAAAACAGCATGCCTTATGACAGACCCTTACGTCGAGGTTTAGAAATAAGTCACAAATGATGTGCAAAAGTCTGATGTCACATTTCTGTTATTTCAAAAATTACAGTGAGAGCTAATTAGGTCAAGCAAACTTGCCATTAAATTTTCTCAGAGTCATGGAAACCCATTAATATAATATTAAGTCAACGGCTGTGGAAGATGAGAATTCTAGACCGACCACTACCTCGATGACCTGGGGAAGTCATGTGGCGTACTACTGCCTTCACGTATAAAATGGATTATCGACTGCTGTGAGAGCTGTGAAATGACTTCACGGATCCAAGTGTTTCATAACTGTAACAGGCCGCCCGGAAGAGCCACAGACTCCAGCAATGCATGCAAAAACAAGTGTCCTGAAGCGTACACTAACCAACAATTTGGTTAAACATCTTCACTTGACAAAAACGGAAATTTTTACCAGATCATTTTTGAACTCCAGTTCTTTGTCCAGATCTATGTAAGAGAATTTTGAAAGTGAAGTTTCTAGATTGAAAGCCTTATTCAGTTCTTCTTCAGCAGCCTTGCCACAGAGGCTCTGTTCCACATTTTCATGGTCTGGTTCATTTTCCATATTTACTTTTAATAACTGTATTCAGTCAATCCAAGCAAGTGTGTGTCTGTTTTGTTCTTGGCATTAGATCATGACGACCTGAATGATGATCTCTGAAAAAAAATAAGAAAGAGGTGTCATTTAAATTTCTTCCTTGTCAAGTAGACTTTCTAAAGACTTACTTGGTCAGATTTCACTCAATCAACTGATTACAGGCGAGGAGAAATCAATACCAGCATATAGGGTATGATATTGACTGAGAAGGGTGTCTAAGGGAGCATAAAGCAGAAACACCCAAATCAGACTTGAGGACTCCAGAAAGCGGCCCACCGCCATCATCAAAATGATAGTGACAAAGCTGATAGGCTCAGCCACTATACCTGATACCAAGAGATTTATGCACCTCACAGCGTGAGGCTCACTTGGTGCCCAAAGCTGCGATTTATCTCATTCACAAACCTCAGGACAGCACTCCAGTCCCCTGGAGCTATGCACATAGATCAGTTTTGTTGTTGGCATCCATCCACACAGGGTCACAGAGATCTATGCACTCGGTATAGACACCAAGGATGCATGCTTGCTCGTTTAATACAGCAGGAGCAAATCTAAGGGTTCAGATCTATTAGATGACACAACAATGATAAAATACTTGCACAGCCTTCCAGAGATTCCTAGAAGACAGTCATAGAGAAACATGGAAATTTTCAGAGAAAGATGAAACAGTAAAGAAACCAGAAATGGGGCTCGCTCCATGGCCTAGTAGTTAAGGGAGTTGTCTCACACAAGGCCAACCGTGCAGTTTGAGAGCTCACCCCTGTAACCTGAAAACACACTGGATGCATGTAAATGTGTACCCAGGATCCTAATAGGATAGAGAAAGGAAGAAAAGGGATTCTGGCATGACTACGTCCCCTACAGAGCTTTTTCTTTCACCCTCTCTGGTGAGCACACGTACCCCCTGACAACAGAAAAAGAAAAAAAGAGGGGCCAGCAGGTGGCATAGTGGTTAAGGAACTAGACTCCCATGTGGCTGACAGAGGTTCGAGTCCCAAACCCAGCAACTTGAAACTCACACTGGGTGCATGTGTGTGCGTGCCCCAAATCCCAAGGGGGCAAATTCTCACTTTCTGTCTTCCTATCTCTGTCTCTCCAGCAAACACACACACCTTATAGCAAAACACTCTTTAAAAAGAGAGAATGAAACTAGAAATGTATGCAATTTTTTTTGTTCCACGGCTCTAAATTATAAAATGCTATATTTTAAAATTCAGACAACTTGGTGTACTTGAAAAACTGTCATTTCCTAGAAAATTAATAATATATTAAAAAAAGATTATAAGCTTAATAAGTAAATTTGCTTTTGTATGTTTTTAGGTTGTATTTCAATTAGGCTACAAGTGACCAAACTTCTAAAAGTCCACTTATCTTTGCCTTCTTAGAATAAAGCAAACATGTGCTACAGTATGACACAATAATGCTATAGTAATGACACAAAGGCAATAATGTTATAGTAATAATGCTATAGTAATGACACAAAGGCAATAATGTTATAGTAATAATGCTATAGTAATGACACAAATAAAGGTAATTGCATTTTTTAAACTAGGTATTTAACACAACTAGCAAAACTCTCAGTACAAAGCTTTTTCTAACTACATAGTTCTCTGAGGGTATAAAGACCACTATCACCCCAACAACCCTTACCCCCAGTTGAACTTCTCTTATTATTCTTTAGTGAAGTGAAGGCAGAAAAAAGGCTGGCAAACACTAAGCCATTGAAAAAACGAATTATTTTTATTTTTTGGCCACAGAGTGTATGCACTCACTGGAGGTGGGGGGAGGGGGAGAGAAGCCCCCACCCCCACCCCCCGTCCCCAGTGTGCCATGGTCCTATCCCAATTCCTTCTCCATTTCTCCACTCTTGGGACTTTGGGTACACTCACACACAGACACACAGAGACACGCAGGCTGCTTTCAAGCCACCCATGCTTGGTCAGCCATGGGGGTTGCAGCGTCTTTAACCACTAAACCCAGGACTACTAATTTTTTTTAGAGTGAACTGAGATTATTTATTTTTGAGTAACATATCCAAAACTAACTGGTAATTTTCTCTAATGAGACTCACTTATTTTAGTACCAATAATAAAGGTCACCTCCTCCAATGTTTCATTTATCATATTAAAAAGAAATGAACAGCTACTATCTATAAGATACGTGGAGTCAAGAAAACTGATTTTCCAGGAGTTAAAACCAATTTTCTAGTGAGTCCATTGGTCTAGTATTACCAAATACAAATTAATTTCACCTGTGACCAAAAAAAAGGCTCTGAGGCCTGACCTACAAAACACACGCTCTCAAACACACTTCCAGGGCACTTAACTGCGAGCGTTCTGTACCAGGCCACACCGGAACGTGTTTTTCCAACAGGTACTAAAATATACAGCTCACGGCTCCTTTTGCCAAGCCAAATGAAGGAGCGATATCATTTGGTGTTCTTCAAAGACTGAATTGGCTCACAACATCGCTTTTATTCAAGTTCACTTATTTATTCCCTGAGAGAAACATGGTCAGACAGACAGACGGGCATCCTTGATACAGTCCCCATACGATGATCTGCCCTGCCCCCCAGCCCTGCAGCCGCGGCACGGCCCTGGGTGCGCCTGGCACGTTCAGGCAGACCCGCTGAAAACCCACAGCGCTCCCATTCGGCTCCGGCATCATTACCTCTAGCACCCCACAGGTGGGCTGATACTTTACTTTTTAATGAAGTCTTTCATGTGTACCACTAAGCAAAAATGGTTAAATTCTTCCAGAAATATTTACAAACACCGCAATCTAATTCACATTCAGTAACTCTGAACAAGTCATTAAGTTATATTCTTGCGCATTTTTAAATAGACAAAAAGACCATGTAGCAAAAAAGAGAATGAAAACTTTTATTTAAATGATTTAAAAAGGTAAAATGTTTCATACTTCACATCTGGTCTTTCCAAAATAACTCAGAAAGGAAGACAATTTTTTTCCTGGCTTTTTCTCTCCTATCTGGAATTATGAAGAGTCTCTAAGACCATGTAACAAGTCAAAGTCTGTGAACACCAATATCACACGGAAGTGTCAAGTGATCAAGCACTCCCTGAAGAACATCAAACCATCAAGTTCCC